AAAAAGTGGTTTCTACTTTTACTTTTATACTTTAAGTAAATTTACAAGCCTGTACTTTGTTACTTTTACTTGAGTAAAGAAGTTTAATAAGTACTTCCACTTTTACCAGAGTATTTTTTAACACAAGTATCTGTACTTTTACTCAAGTACGGAAAGTGAGTACTTTTGCCATCTCTGATTAAAGGTGGTAAATACAGAATTCATGCTCTTTTCAGAACTAGATTTTGTGTTTTATGGGGTAAAGAGAAAATTATGTCTCTGCAAGTCATCTAGGAGTCTTCAGTGAAATCATAGATACATTTTTAAATACAAACTTAATAAGTAATCAATTTATGTAGATATTATTACATGTAAATATCAGTTTTATGCAGAATGATTATTGAAAAAGTAGGTAAGTAATGACAATGGAAAAGATGTTCAACCCAGAATTCAAACCTGAAACAATTTTATCCATTATACCTTTTATGTAGAAAGCAAAGATGTTTAAATATATGAGTCTGTTTGTTTGGGAAGGCTTAAGGAAAGTATGGTTTGGCTTTATTTAGAAAATGTAGATGTTTTGCTTGTTAATTTTCCTGTTGGAACAGTGTAGATTGGCCCTGAGGTTCTGGCCCTCAGTGTACAGTGGTTATTGCCTGGCCACCCGTATAAAAATGTTCTGGCTACACCTCTGTATTCACAACAAAATTCTTTGAAGCTTTCATGTGACATAGACCTTTATCCTGAAGTTAAAGAGAAAAAGTTTTGAAAATTTTAAAACCAAATACAATAATGACTTGAATATGAGAAAAACATAACCGGATATAACCTGAATTTACATATATTTCTAGAAAATAAAAACAGTGCTTTTTTCCTAGTTTTATGCCCATTTATCTACGTACTTGGAAGATGATCCAATTAGATTCCACCGTGTTGTAGAGTTTGTTTGTGGTTTTTAAATTGCAGTCTTCATGTTCAAATTAGGATTTCTGAATAGGAGAAAAACATATTCCCAAATTAAATTGTGTTATAAAAAAAATAGTTTTGTGTTTTTATTTGAATTATGTAATTAATTTGTGAACAAATGCTGGTGAAGATTCTCAGTCATCCAGGTCATAGTCATTCCATAAAAAGTGAAAAAAACATTCCACTGGATATTGTTTCAAAGTTTAAAGACTTTTCGCTTCCCGTCCAGGAAGCTTTTTCAATTCAAAATGTCACAAATAGCGTTAAGATCGAGGCTTTATATGAAGTGGATCAAAAACAAAGCCTTGATTTGGCGTAGAAAACATGCAAATTGAACCAGACGAACGGGTCCGCCCCTTTGGGCTCTAAGAAGCCTCAAAATCGATGCTGTTTCTGACATTTTGATTTGAAAAATCTTCCAGGATGGGAAGCAAAACATCCTTAAACTTGGAAACAAAGTCCAGTGGATTTTTTCCCCCACTTTTTTTTGGAATTTGTAAAAAAAATTCTTTTTAGTAGGATTTTTTTTCTAAATGTTGCCAGCATATATCCTATGTTTTCTCACTTCATGCTTTCTTTTTATCAGTGACAGTCTTGTATGCGTATCGATACATGATTATTAAAGAAACAAAAATCTTGTCAATCCAGTCTTTCTTGTCTCTTAAAAAACTTTAATATTCAATCAAAGGAATGTTGAATCCGTTATTGTTTTTCGTTTGTTTTTTTCTTTTGGATTTCACAGAGCAGGATATCAAATAGTCTAATTGGATAAGAATTTAGCCCTGGAACTTGAAATAAAAGCACAGCACAAGATTAGATCATTGTGATGACATTTGATATTTTCATCACCAATTTAAGTATAGCCAAGATATAAAGTTAGCTTTTGTAATTTTGATGAAATAGACTCTGAAAATTACAAAATTGCAGAAACTCAGATATCTTAAACAGAAATGTCAGTATTTTAATGGAAAATATCTCTATGCACTTTATAGTTGCTTTAATCTCCCTTCATTATGAATTCTTCATGAATGCAGATTGGCATAGGAGGTGAGCCTGCAGCACCAACATTGATCTAAAGATAAGTAAAAATATCTACAGTTACTGTGTCTGCTCTTAAAATTAAATACATTAACCTGTCAATGGAATTAATATTATTGCCCTTAAAATAATTTGACAAAATGCACTTGAAATAAGATGATGAGTTGCTACCTCTGCCAATGAGGTTATGTTTTTAGGGGAGTTTGTGTCTGTGTTTGCTTGTCTGTCTATAACGTGAAAAGTTATGGACAGATTTTAATTAATTTTTTTTTAATCAGTGGTGACCCTTTGGGTCCTTAATTTTCAAATAAAACATAAAATGTATCTAATCTTTTCTGTATTGATGACACTTTTGATGTTGCATCTTTTTCAAAAGATGTCCGCCACAGGAAGTGCAAACTTTTCTACCCTTTTAGTCGAACTGTCTGTTCATGGAGGCTCTTGACGTCCTCATGCAATCCTCAGTAGAATCCTTGCTGCTCCCCCTGATATTTGTTGATTTTGCTTGAAAATCCATTTCCACTAAGATGCACATGGAAAAAATCTTAATTTCAGAAGTGGGATGCAAGTATTGTTTAATATAACTAATTTCAGTCTGTGTGTGAAACCATCCAATCACAGACCCGATCCAGTGGCACATCAGATCTTTATAAAATCAGCTCCTCAGGAGTGACAGCCGTTACAGTCAATCACACAAGACGGTGGGCCAATCAGGAGCTTGTGGGCGGTCTAAACGCAGGGAAGCGGGCTTCAGTTTGAGCTGCGATTTTCCGCTTGGTCCTAGTGCTCGACGAATGTCTATGTACTGTAGCGTAATATTGTTTTTGGACAGTAAAAATTGTAGGGGACCAAAACGGATGTTTGAAAAAGTGCAGGGGACATGCCCCCCCCCCATCCCCCCTGAAATTACGCCCATGGTGGTGCACCATTTCCTTCCACACCTTCCATTTGTCTTTTATTAGAAAAAAATTAGGAAACATTTGCAGGTGTTTTTCAGTTAATCAGGTGATCATTGTGTGACACCATAACTTTCTGATGTTTCACCTTTTTAAAAATATCCAGATAAAAAAAATTTTTTTTCATTATCTGTATGTCATCAAATACAAGAAATAAAGGTTTTAAATTAGCTTCACTTTCTGAAAAGATTAACCAAACATACTGTAAATACTGTCCCATAAAAAACCATGAAAACCTTCTGATCTAACAGCAACAATTGCTTACTGACAAATACTGATAATCTTTTTCCATCTACACATTATGGTGCCAAACAATCTGAATGTTACAAAGCAAGAAACCAGCAAAACTTTGGTTCCAATAGAGATTCACGTTGGTTATTAATGCTTTGCCCACAACTCACTTCACCTCAATTTCTTGAGTCTTCTGTAAAGTATTCTCTAATGCTGAGATGTAAAATCCATTGCTATGAAATTATTTAAATCTTATTTTTGGTCATGCCCCGTATTTCCACTATGAGGCGCTGTTGTTTAAACAACAAGGAAGCATCACAACTTAAAACACATTTATTTTCATTCATTTCTCTTGATATATTAACACTTTATTTCACTTCTCCAGCATGCATACAGGACGTTAAGACCTCATCTCATAGTGGTGAAGCAAAGTACATTCAAAGAGAAGGACTAGACCAGCGTAGTCGATGCAAAATAAAACACGTTTCTTATCAAAATAGGCTGCACATTCAAAGAAACATCACTGCAACTGTATAATACGGATGGTTAACGTAAAACTTATCAGCTGTATTTGAATGTAAGTTTAAAATATGAAATGTAATGCATGCATACAGAGAAAATATATGGTAATAATGAAATTCCTTCAATCACCAACATGACAGAAATGGTTTTTTATATATATATGACCGCAGCCAGAATAAGTGCTCATCAACATTTAAGGGAAAGTAGGTTTTTAAATTCATATTCAAGAGGAAAAGACCAGCAGTTCCTCAAAAGAATATTGCCCTACCAAAATAAAAGTTCCTCTGAGACACAATCAATCTATCCTAACAGCTTATCACCATTTTAACAGGAACAGGAAGTGGTAGACTGATGAACTGGAGGTGCTCCAGGTATCTTGTAGGTCTCTTAGAAGCGTGAAGCGGAGCCACTTTTCCTCTCCAGATATCCAGTCGACTACCTGAACGAGTGTCGGAAATGCAAACTCCTACGCTTCAGCTTCTCCGGGTTGTTGGAGGCCATGTGGGAAAATTCCCTGAAGATGTCAAGGTATGTAGTGTCTCCTGGTAAGATACAAACAACGGGGGGAACAATAAATAAAATAAAATAGAAAACAATCACAGCCTTAGAGCAGGAATTTTTCTTTTCTTTGAAAGGAAGGAACATAAAATGCAAGAAAACACACAAAAAAGTCATTGAGGCACCCTGAAGCTTCCCCTCTTTCAGCGTCCCTAAATCCTGAGCATTCATGCCTGTTGTTGCTATGGTAACTGGTGCACATACATTCAGAACAAAAGTAGCAGTGAATTGTTGTGTGTCTGAAAAAGCTCACAGGATACGCCACATAAAGGGAGTATGAACGTTCCTCCTGGGAGAAGCAGCCTGAAACTTGGGAGTAATTAGAATTTTGATCAGTATGTGATTTAAATTGTGAAGTTTGGTGCTTAAAAGTGTAATTTGTGTGTTTTATTATTAGTTCTTTTCACTGCCCCCTATTTCTATATTAGACATAATCCCTAAAACCAGTCCCCATTCACTCCACCCTCACTCTCTTATGCGGTGGCTCTTGTTTTGGGAGCTATTCAAAGCTTTACTGTCCCATCCATCGCCCTCCTTTTTACACCGAAATGATACACTAAAGGGAGAAAAAAACAACAAATAAATCAGGGCTGCCAAGTTTAACGCATTGAGTGTAACATCACACAATTTCACCCATTTTCATGCCACACATGACATTTCTCATTTATATTTCCCCATTCCATATTCCATGCTCATTCAATACTCAGAGACTTGCCGAGTTCGAGTAGCTAAATTCTGATTGACTGACCAATCCTAGATCAATCCACCAGTCCTTTGTGCCTAAATCTAGGAAAGAAAACAATATAATATATGCTACTTTAAAGTTTATTATTTCCTATGTTTGTTACAAAGATGTGGACATTTTATTGCCTCAGTGTGTGTTTGTGTTTCAGTTACGAAATGGTTAATATCAGTTTAGACCACCCTAAAGCAGTCTTGTTCACAATTCTAAATAAGTAAATTTTTTCATGCCAAAATGTCACCGATTCTGCTCCTAACTTTTATGGACAGAATTTCTAGGTGCAGCCAAAGTGTTGAGCAGATCTGTTTTGTTGGCCTTATTCGCAGATGATGTGGTTCTATTGATTTATCAGGGCGTGATCTACAGCTCTCACTGGAGCGGTTCGCAGCCGAGTGCGAACCAGGTGGGATGAGGATCAGTGCCTCCAAATCCAAGACCCATCCAAGACCATGGTCTTGAGCTGGAAAAGGGTAGAGTGCCTTCTCCGGGTTGGAGAGGATGTACTGCCCCTAGTGGAGGAGTTTAAGTATCTTGGGGTCTTGTTCACGATTGAGGGGAAAATGGAGCGGGAGATCGATAGGCGGATTGGTGCGGCGTCTGCTGTGAGGCGGGCGCTGTACTGGTCTGTTTTGGTGAAGAGAGCTGAGCCAAAAAGGAAAGTTCTCGATTTACCGGTGGATCTACGTCCCTACCCTCATCTATGGTCATGAGCTTTGCATCATGGCTGAAAGAATGAGATCCCGGATACAAGCGGCTAAAATGAGTTTTCTCTCTAGTGTGTCTGGGCTCTCCCTTAGAGATAGGGTGAGGAGCTC